CTGCCAGTCTCACCAGTGGAAAATTCTTCCCAACCCCACATATGGCAATCAGTAAGACCCTGGTCATGTGAGCAAGAATCAGCCAGCCCACAACCTGGGAGAGAGAGAATGCCTGGTGCCCCCTTAGAGCGCTGGACCTCTCCGCCAATGTCCTATCTCCAGTCATGGCCATCCCTGATGCTTCAGAGGAAGAAGAGAAAAATAATACATCAGGGTACAAAAAAAATCCCTTCCTGACCCCTGCAGGTGGCCAGCTGAAATCCTGAAACATGAATTTTAAGGAACATAAGACATAAACCAGAAGTTAACCTCAGGGCTCCCGATTCCTGTCCCCCACCATCACAAACACTTCTATTCCTGCCCTTGAGTGTTGAGCTTTAGAATCTCCTAGTGGCACATGAGGTAACCCTTTCCCCCATTGCTGTCTGGCAGAGCAAGATGTTTGACTCCATCATAAGTTGTCTCCATAATGGCAGCATCCTTTTTGATCTGGCCTAGAAATAGTGTCATTGACTGCTCAGGTCTCATTTTCACTTTTGTTCTGATTATATTATATTATATTATATTATATTATATTATATTATATAGCAGCCAAAACTTTTCAACTTTTATATAATATAATTAATATAATACATTAATAATTATAACAATAACGTCAAAACAAAACATTTCAATATTTCCCCCTCAACAATTTCAAGTAAATTGATACATTCCCACAAAACACTTCAGTTACATTGAATCAGGATTTTTAAATGCAAAGCAGTTCCACTGGAGAAATTTCAACCAGGTCTAATGGTGATGATTGTCTGCACTGCCCCTTACTATCGGCTGACACCATCCATTGCTATAGTTGGAAGGCAGATGTTGAAGGGGGATGTGTTATATACAGAAACCCTGAAAGATTTATTGTTGTTGCTTTCCCTTTGAGAAAAGTTTTATTTTATTTTAGTTTAGTTTAGTTTAGGTTATTAATGTATACTTTAGAAATTTGATGATATCAAGGTGTAAAGGCAAATCTTTCTTTTTTTTGTTGGAGATGTCCCTTACTGGATCCAGAGATGTGCACTGTGAGCTTTCTCAACCCTTATTTGAAAGTTTTTGAATATTTAACAGAGAGAGCTTTTCTCCACAGTGTGCTTGGGCATTTGAGCTAAAACTAAGAGTCACGATTATAGGGCCAGCTGCACAGTTATCCACTTTCCAGTTTTTTTGAGAGCACCCTTGCAGGTGATAGGTCTGTTGGACTTACTTTTCTGGGGGTGAAATTTCCCAAATTTTCCATTTTTATGTGAGAACCTGGAAATACTACTCCACACTTTTGGGTTTTGGGCACCTGTGTTTTCTCCCTTCTGAAATCTGTAACCAGTGACCTAGTGACCAAATGCTTACTTTTATTTAACAGTTGGACCAAAGCATTAGGATAAAAGGATTTAAAAACAGCAAACTGTCTACATACATAGTTAGCTTTCCATTTTTCTTAGAAAGCTCACAATAGAGATTTGTGAGGTTGCAATCATAACAGAAAAGAATTTTGATTAGCAAAAGGGGCACATTGACTTGAAGACTATTTCAAACATTTTTTTCCTGCTTTTGCCATTGCTGAGTGTGACCAAATGTGACCATATGGGTCTGTTCTATTCTATTTTTTCCATTCTAATTAGAATAGGTGGGTCCATTCTAGTCTATTAACTAGAACAGAAGGGTCTATTCTATTCTATTCTATTCTATTCTAGAACAGATTCTATTCTATTCTAACCTAGAACACATGGATCTATTCAATCACAATCCCATGTCATTGTTTATCATTTAGAAGAGAAAGTGAATCTCCCTAGGCACCTCTGCTGATTGGCATTGTAAATCAATGAGAGGGGAAAGTTAATAGCATATTTATTTTTAGACCATATGAACAACGGTGTTAAATAGAGTCAAACTTCTAACACCCCCGCCCCCAAATGGCCAAAATAAAAAAATATTTTAATTTGGAAATGCTACCATGGATGCCTCATGGGAGCTGTAGTTTAGTTGCCTTATGACCCCATTCCTCTCTAAGTTTTGGGCTCCATAGCTGGACTACAGCTGCCATGCTGCACCAACTCCTCTCAACAAGAGAGAGACTATGGTGTATCATGGGAGATGTAGTCTGTCCAGAGAATGTAACCCATGCAGTAGAATGGGTGCATGAAGCACCTGAGCCTCAACTCCAATGAGGCACTATGGCAACATTTCTGAACTGACCTGTTTTGGTTTTCAGCCAAAATATTTCAGTTTCTGATTTTTCATGAAAAAGTCAAAATTTTCCATTGAGGAAAAATATATTTCCAACCAGCTCTACAAACAAAACTGCAGAAGGCAATTGTGGAATAACATGAGCTATTCAGTTATATGAGTCAACAGTGTGCCCTTGTTGTCAAGAAGGCTAACAGCATTTTGAGCTGTATAAGTAGGAACATTGCCAGCAGATCGAGGACGTGATCATTCCTCTCTATTCGACATTGGTGAGGCCTCATCTGGAGTACTGTGTCCAGTTTTGAGCCCCACACTACAAGAAGGATGTGGAAAAATTGGAAAGAGTCCTGCAGAGGGCAACAAAAATGATTAGGGGGCTGGAGCACATTATTTATGAGGAGAGGCTGAGGGAACTGGGATTATTTAGTCTGCAGAA